AGTATTCCCGACAGCATTGTATTTTGCAGGTACCATTAATTACGGGAGGCGTGAATGGATGGAGGGAGGGGGGGAGGGGGGGGAGGCCTGTTCGGATTGATGAGTGTCGCAACCGTCAAGTATTGCCAACACCATCATGATCGTCATGAACAGCAGCAGGTACGAACGGAGGTTCAAGCACCCAAAGGAAATATTTAGCGCGACTTTTTCGCTCTGCGGCGAGAAGCGATCGTTCAACCATGACCAGGAGGGACGGGGGTGCCGCCAGCGTGAGGACAGGGAGGCTCTCCCTCCCCTCAAACGCGTTAGTTCTACTGGGACTAGTACGGGAGATGGAAACGTTTTCCTCACTCAACACAACCGCCTGCACTCTCACCCTGCGCCTGCCCGCCCTTCCTCCCCCGCCATCCCACGGATCCCCGCTGACGCACGACAGCACCCAACCCAGCGATCCCATCGAACGATTCTGCAAATCCCCCATCCCTTCCTCCTTGCGGTGGAGGGCTGCGGACGACGGCGAGAGCACCGGCATCCTTCGCTTCTTCATGGAGGAAATCTTAGTGACCGATGCCAGCAGTGCGACGTCGCCGCCGCCGTCGCTGCCACCGCTGCCGTAGCTGTGGCGGTCCTTGGGAGCCCAGGACTTGCTGAGGATCCCCCCGATAACCGAGCTGGTGCCGGTAGACGCCGATCGGTTGGTGGTACATGGGATTGACCGTGACACAAAACAGGAGGGGGACAAGATAAGACAGCAGTACTCAGGGACAGGTGAACGAAGGTTGCGGTCCTTTCACAACAGATGCCGACGCTTTGTGTGGCCGTCGAAGACAAAAATAGAGCCGGAAAACATGTGTGTTCAGCGCACATACGTGTACTGCACTCCCACAAAAAAATTCCAACGTTCCACTACACAAATACAATAGCGGTAGGGAGAAAAGCGGGGCATGGCTCACCTCGGGAACTCCGTTTCTGGGTTTTTCTTGCGAACCTCTTCTGCCTGGAACATGCACGCCTGTCGGCATAGCAATTCCAGCTGGCCGCGAGGAGTGGGCTGCGAAAATGTTGTTCGGTGCGACACGTTGCGGGAGCATCCAAGGGGGAAGCGGTGTCTCTCAAGCCGCCATCATCTAGGGCGTTATCGTAGCCTACGAGGGAGAGCACGTACTACAGAACTATCTAGGGGGGGTCGACAGCGAGCCTCTCACAGCAAGCTGCCAAAGGGGGGCAGCAGTAGTTGGCACCTTGCCGCAAACAAACGGGTCTTCAGTTCTTCAAACGGCAGAGCGGTGCTCTCGATTAATACCATGGTTCACGCATGCAGTAGAAAAGCGCGAGCCTGAACGGACACGGACACCGTGACCAACAGACGGACACAGATTCTGCACGACGCCTATGTACACCGACGGTCCGTGCTGGAAATATACACACATTACTGGTCGGTGACAGAAAGGCTAAACCACTTCTCAGAGAAATGCACAGCCCGTTGCCCCCCCCCCCCCCCCCCCCCGCGCCCCTACTGAGAGTCCGCATCCCTCCAAAACCAAAAGCACTACTACTGTACCCGTACAACCCCCCTGGGACCGCAATAACCCCTCTGAAACAAAAACTCAAGGGAAGGGATTTTCCCCTTGGGCGGGGTTTCCTGGGCCGGGAAAAAAAAGGCCCGGGACCCCCGGAACGTCTCCAAACACCCCAACCTCCCCCGGGGAAGGGGCCCAAAAATAAAATCCCGGGGGGTGCCCCCCCTGGGGAAAGTGAGGGAAAAACCCAACTCTCTGAACTCCTCGGGGGAACTGCCTCCCTCCAACTTTTG